AAAACATATGAAAGAAGCTTTGCCGAACGCCAAACCCACAATTTTGAGCTTTTTTCTTTAAAATTCGAAATCAACCATCCATGTTTTCTAACCGTAGATTTGTTTATTTTTTTTTGTTTTTGCTTTCAATATTTGTCTAATTAATTAGTGCAAATTTGTCGGTGTCAAAAAAATATTAATATTTTTATTAACTTAACGCCTTGCGCGCACATATAATACGTTTTATACCTACCCTCACTTTAATGAAATCTTTTGACACCTGATATTCAAAGCGTATATATATATGTATATATTTTTTGGCGCGCCACTTGTCTTTGTGGAACAAAGAAAATTTTAATTTTATTTGTCATCTCAAAGTTTTTACGGGCTGCATGCCTACATACAAGCTCACCCACAAGCACTCTGCTATACAAATATATAAAATGACAAGCGGTATATAATAATATAAAGAAATGTACAATAATGTACATAAATTAAATATAATGATTATTTTGGCAGCATTAAAATTATTATAATACCAACATATGTTGAGTTGTTGCAAAATTCTACGCACATTGCCACATACAATAACTACATACGTACCCATATGTACATATGTCCACACGCAGAGGTGCAGATGCGTGCCTTAGCTGTGTAGCAGCTTCAATCTGTTACAATAGCAGTGAGCGTCAAATGAAATAAACAAAAAATCCTAAGTCAAACAGGTGTAGTTATGATAATACAAAGACAAATTTGACCATCACAACTTGCTTTATGCAATTTTTTTCTTTCTTCTTCTTATTATTATTATTTATTTATTTTTTTTTTGTTCACATTGTAATCTTTTACATATCCGTTTGTTTACACTACCCACCTGAATATATGTGCTTCTATATACATATATATACGAGTATAGATGTTAGTGAATGTAAGTTGATGATCATCATTCGCTCACAGTCACCTTTGACTCTCTTCGGTGTGCGTACGCTTGTGTGTGTTTGTTGAACTATTTCACTCTTAGTGTTTGTGGGCCAACGCTTTTGACCGTGATTTTGATTATTTCTCATTTCTGACACATTTTCTCCACATATTGCTATTACAAACAAATTTCTAAAGGTGATTTGCACTCAGATCTAAATACATATAATATTTTATACTCATATATACATATGTTTGTGTTTGCATGTGTAATTAAGTAATAGAAAAAAAATCAAAAGTTCCCAGGTAAGGCGTTAGTGTTTTCGACTGGAATGTGTTTAAATTGATTGTGCGATTCGAGTAAATTTTTTTTTACAGCACTTATTTAGGAGGACAGTTGCAAGCCAATTTTTTGAAAATGCTGAGCTCTCCCTCTCTATATGCTGTGTTTAATAATTAATTGATTTTTCCTCAATATGAAATTTTCATAGCGTAAGCTATTAGTAAAATAGAAAGTTCATCTCTCCAGATTTATGGCACTTTATTGTCATATTTTTATTATGAGTTTAATGCAATAAATAACAGTGAATTTTTGTATTTGCATACAAGGATTGCCCTTTCTGGGTGAGATGTATGATATTTTGAAGAGTTTGCGTCAGTATAGAAAAAATATTAGAGGAAATAGCTAAAGAGCAATTTAACTTCCTCGGAAACGCAAGTTTTACCATCAATAGAAAGATATTTCTAACAAAATTTTTTTTGGCGTAGTTTCGTTCCAAACTTTTTGACATCAACGTGTTAACTCCATATTTCATATTGCCACTTAAAAAATATTAAATTCGAAAAAATTTTAAATACTATTTCGTCAGATCTTTAGACTAGAAATTTGTTTTTATTAAACCACAAGGGTAAGCAAATAGCTAGCTTTATAGCTTCGCAACCGCATTAGTCCATAATGGATATCAGTGCTTTCAAAAGGGTTTTCCAATAAGAGGTGTTTTTTGATAATAAAAAAAACCTTTCCCATAAAAGATCAATTGTTTCGTTGCTTGTAAAATTAAGCGTTATCCAGATCAATACCATCCTATTGTATTTTGACCATAAAAAATCATTCCTTATCTCTAGCAATCCATTAATTTTCAAAAAAACTAAGGTCCAATGACCTCACCGGATCAATAACCGCGCCAAACAGTTACACGCTGAGGATGAAGTAGCTTTTCAACAATAAATCTTGAGTTTTCGAGCCCCAGATGCAACAGTTTCGCTTATTGACGTAGCCATCCAGCTGGAAATTAGCCGCAGTAGTCAAGTTGATTTCTCGATGAAAGTTTTGTAAGGAATTTTAATAATTGCATTGCGTTGTTGAAGCGTGTATCGTTCCATTTTTATTACTGGAATGTAATTTTACTTGTCAAACGTCCACAAATTACAGCATTTAAAATGGCATATACCGCAATAGTTGGCTATTCGAAAGATTATTGGAAAACGCTTTACCATGAGGTTCAGGTCATAGATAAGAAACTTGAATAAACCAACATACAAAATTATTGAAAATTTATATGAAAATATTTTTTTTCGAATTTCAGTCCCTCTTAACATGAAATAATATTAGGTGTAGTAAAAAGGAATCCATTATTTTTGATATTAAAAATCCGTGTTTTGCATGAAAACCTTCAATAGTTTTACTTTTTTCTTTTCGTATCCAGCCTTATTCAAATAGGGTTTTGTATGGGTAATCGAAGCAGTGCTTACATGACGGTTGGACTCGACATCCATGATTTTATCGACATTTTCGACCATTGGTCTTCCATTCCGTGAAGCATTCGTTACATAAAATTTGTGCGTGATTGACTGTAACAGCAACAGGACCACGAACACTATTCACGTTTTGAGCCGCCTGGCATGCTTTTTCGCCCTTATTTTTTCTCTTTGCTAGTGTCCATCTTTGACGCAGGCTCAAAAAAAGCTGAATCAACCAATTATACGGATGAGTAAAGTAATCTATTGGAAAAATAATGGATTTCCTTTTACTACACCTAATATAATCTATCTGACGCTTGGAAGTGGCTCAGTATAAGCTATAGGTCCTCAACCCAAATTGAGAAGGAGCATGGCCGAAATCCGCATCAGCGAATATAAATCACCAATTATAATAATATATATAATATATAATATATACTCAGGGTGCACAATTTTCAAATTTCCATCCGAAAGTATCTGTTACCATATAGGCCGGTTGTGGGCGACTTCCACATTTTGACTAATAATATTTGGTCTAATTCATATTATGCTGACATATGCACACCAACAGAAAGCTGGCGACTTTAGATAACCTCCATTGAAATAATTGGGCTGATTCATCTAACTAGAATTATCCATTATCTTCTAATTAAAAATAAAAAAATTGTCACTTCACTTTTGATAAAAAAAATAATTTTCTTACCCGATGGGTGTTCTTGGAAATTCGTTTTATAAATAAAGAGAAAATTAAATTTTTTTATCCCATCAGTGAAAAAAGAACAACAAAATTAAACGTTTTTCAGTTATGTATTGCCCCCTTCATCTTCGGAATCGGAAGCACAATAATTGTGCTGAATTACACCGGATGCCTACAAATATTGCGTTCGATGGATTTCGAGGTTGGTAATTTCAGTGGCAGGAGATCCAGACAGTTGGTATAGAAGTCCAGCTCATCATCAGATGGCGTAGGTTGACTTCAATTGCGTATGAATTTCAACAAAACACAATCTTTCACAGATGAAATGTTATCAATCTTGACTATCACTGTCTACAAATAGCAAGTTGCTTTGAGTTTTATCAGTACCTTTGACAGGCTTACTGTACACGAGGCAACACTTAATGCCTGGCAACAGCGCATAAAAATCCATTTTTTTTCTTATTAAATGATCTTTCCGGGTTGGATATGACGTCAAAATAAGCAGTTGTATTACACTATTTCTCAACCAAAAAAAATCATAAATTAAGAAAATAAAAGTGGTCACAACCGGCTGCATTAATACCTATCTTTCCCCGTTTTCCAAGCAGCCAAAAAAAATTATTTTACACCGATTTATCTCACTTCGAAATAATTTTAGATTTACTACAGCATTTACTGTTTGCAAACATACATATATATTTGACAATACTCAGCTCAATTACATCCGCTGATGTTGTCAAAATTTAGGTAGTGATGCCCAGGAGTGGTGCACTCGCCTGCATGTTAAAACTTACAGAAAACTATGTAGTACTTTTCTGACTTCAAACATTCCGAAAAAATAAATAAATCGGTAGAATCAGTAGAAATATTGAAGCGATCGGTTGTTATTGTTCTATACTTTCATTTTTTTCTTATCGAATATACCATTGATTAACTTCATTATTTCCTATTCAGAAATTTAGTGTCGAAATTTCGTATACCTGCAACTATGTCACTGCTATGCAGGGTATAAAATTTATTTGGCGGCAAACAGCTGATTTGCTTACTCAAGTTGTTTGTTATGCAATTTTAAGTCAAAGAAAATAAATAAAATAAATAGAAGTTGTATCTGTCACAACACTGGCGTGTGTATATGTGTTAATTTGTATATACTCGTATGTATACATAGATTCGCCGGCAATTGTTGACTCTACGCACTAACACTTTACTGGAGGCCACCGAGATGAGAGTAATCGACGCGTTCACATTGCTTGCTTTGTATTGCTTTCGAGCAGTGTGTAAGCGTGTGGGCTTCAAAAGAAAATTACAAATTCATGTTTGTAAATATTTCGATGGCGCTATTCATAACAATCCAAACTTGCTAATAGTAGGTATATTAATGAGACGACCTTCAAGCTTTTACTTTTGGGAATTTTTAGTAACATACAAACGGACATTTTTTGTTGAAAATATTTTACTTATTTAAAAACCATGACACTGGCATAAGTGATACCAAAAAATTAAATAATAATAATAAATTTATTTCCTCGTAATTTATTTATATTTTTCATTAGTTGAAAATCGGGTTTTGCTATTATATATTTTTTTTCAAATTTTGTACAATTATGTATTTTTCAACGAATGCTTATGAAATATTAATAAGTTCTTACTTCCTCTTTTTTTACAGAAACACACAACAAACTAAAAACTAAAGCACAAAAAATCTATAGAAAACAAAGAGTCAATAGTGTGTGCGTGTATGCTGGTTCCGAGCAAAAAAATCAATACGCCAAATAAATAACAAAAAAAATATATATATAAAAACAAATAAAAACGTAAAATAAATACGCTGGTAACGTATACAACATTACTAACTAAGAACATGGCGAATATGAATGCTACAGAAAATGACGTTTGGAATTTCCTATTCGTCGAATTGGCTGGTAAGTTAATGTAAAAAGTACAAAAATTCTTTACAAAAACACCTCAAAAAATTCCTTAGTATATTAAATTAAAACTATGATATTTTAATAAGCGCTTTAAAAATTGAGCTCCTGAAAAACTAAAAAAAAACTTTTTAATAAACCTAAATTAATAAATTCTGAAACTATTTTTATTATTTAATTGAAAGCAAATTAATTAATTAAGTGTGTGTGAGGCATTATACGCAGTAAAAGTCATGTGTTCTCGGAAATTAAGCGTGACAGCAAACCGAATGGCTACACGAGAGTGAGAGTTGGGTTTAGGTGGTGAATATTTTGGGCATTCGTCGCAAGAGCTCTACGTCTTATAGCGTACTTATATGTGAAATCTGTCAAAAGAGTATATAAGTATACTAAAATTTATTAAAAGATATCAAATATGGCCTTGTTTTAAGCAACTGAAGCCCTGCAAAATTTCTACTAGATCTACCTTGTATTCGCCTGTGCTCTGGGGAGTAGATATTTTTACCACGGTTAGCAGTTTGGGCAATTTCTGAGAGCATTTCAATTGGTCATGAAAGCATTCAATGTGAGGCAAGTCAAGCAAAGCCAGCACTTCCCCATGTTAAGCTAATGTTTATTGTTGAAGAATTCAAGCTTCATCGTAAGTTTGATGTGGTAATTTCTTTAAATTTGAGAAATTTTTGTGATCTCTGTTCGTGGTTAAGTTGAAAAATTTATTCATTTAGGATAAATATTAATTTCTTTTTGCTTTTTAGCCTTTCGGCTGTCTCTTCTTATACGCTGAAATCAATGATTGATCTACCTATTCCTACCTTTCTCTCGATTGGAACAATTTCAACCTTCAACCTCAAATAAAAGAAAAGATTTACCAAAAGCGTAGCACTCTTGTAAATGATTATGCGTGGTCATACATAAAAGAAAAAAATAGATATATGCAAGGCATATGAAGGAAGTAAGTGTACTGAATTTTTGTTTCAAAAATTGTTTTAAAAATTTGTATCTAAACAAAAAAAAATTATTTGCAAATTTAGTTTATAATTTAAGCAATTTTTCGACAAAGTCGAAATTTCAATCAATTTTTTTATGTCTGCTTCGAAGTAGTTCTCCACCTTTTCTTTTAACTCCCCGCAGGTTTAAACCCTTTTACCCCCAATGTGTAGCTTCAGTATAGTAATCTGAAAATGCTAGAACAAAGGAAAGGGCGAAATGGGTCAGAGAAGCTCTTGCCTGATCTCCACTCGGTTCAACATGCATTGGGCTGTCAGTTGTTTTCGGACCACTCTCGTGGACAGTTTCCGATATCGTTAGCGTATCTGAGATTGCTTGAGGAAGCATCAAATAAGGTTCATCCACATGCGATCGTCATGGAGTACATTTTCGTTTTTTCAAACGTTTTTCGCTCCTCTGTTTATTACGTGTGACCGTCACTTTTGAGGTGAAAACTATCATTATAAATATCAAGGAGGTTTTCCCTTGCAAACGTGTGATAACGTGTACCGGGAGAGTGTGGATGGATATTGTTAAATGACTTCGAACCGGTCTCGTTGCAAAGGGCAGAAATCTGACTACACTACCGTGTTGCCAAAATGACAAAATTAAAATCTACTCTCTATTAGATTATGGCTGGTTTACATATAGTTCGCTGATGGTAACCGCTGATGGTTTTTCTAAGGATTGGAGGGATTTACGCATTAAAACAAGCTGGCCTCCAAAGGAGCGAACTCGTCTTTTTATTTTGGGTTCGTGAACCATTCAGAAGACCAGATTGTGCAAATTCTTGAACTCCTTACAAAATCCAACTTTTTATGGTGTGATTTCTTCAACTGAGTGTTGGAGATGCCTCTGAACGGCCGATTGATTTTTATGACGCGATTTTTCCTGTCAGAAATACACTCAGAGTCAGTCTACCGAGGGCCGACCGCAATTAATTTTGGATATTGGTCGGACCATGGCACAAACACACGGCCTTATTGCGGCCGCCAAAACAAAAGAAAATATGTCAGTCAAAAGTACATTCAAAATTTTGATTACACGTATGTGCGTATGTATGTATGCATGTGTGTTTAAAAATAAAGAATTCGTAATAGGAAAAACTACTCCATTGAAATATTTAATAAAGCTTAAGTAACAAATAATTGCTTACAATCAAAATAAATACTTTACCGTCAAATTAACGTCAATTTAGAAATCATTGTATTTTATTATATTACTTTTTTTTATTTTTTAATGGTTTTTTTTCTTTATGTATCTGAAATAACTAAGTTGACAATGAAGCTTAAACAATTGCAATCGCTCATTATTTATTTAATTTATTTTCTTTACTTCCTCAACATAGATCCACGTACAAATGATTGGTTTCTAATGAAATCGCCGGTGCCGATATTCTCAATTGTTGGCCTCTATTTGTATTTTGTGCTCTCCTGGGGTCCACGCTATATGCGCGATCGAAAGCCATTTAAATTGGAAAAGACTTTGATTGTTTATAATTTCATTCAAGTATTACTCAGCGCATGGATGGTCTATGAGGTAAGTGTTGCGTGGAGCGGATAACGGGTAACGGGTAATATGCATACAAATCCAATTAATCTGAATTCATGCCTAAATGTGTGAATATTATCTGTCAATATTGGCATAGATGTATACCCAATAAGCACAATGGACTCCTCTCGTGCTTGAAATTAATTTACTGTCTTTGCTATTTTATTGAAATAAAATTTAACACCTTTCGCAATAGCTATAATTTGTTTTTGTATCTCAATTTAATTAAACGGGGTTTATATTTACTAAAGAACTCTACAAAATATACTTTATACAGCTCGACTCGATTTTAATGGAAAATTATTACTAAATTTTGTATAAAATTTGTTAAATAAAAACATAAAAAACAATTTTTTCTAATACGAGTCGGAGATATAAAAATTTAATTGATTACATGTTTATTGGGTGCACTTCCTCGTCAATCCATAAAACATACAAAAAGACTCATGAGATATAGCTATAATTTTAGGCCTAAATTATGAAAACAAGTTTTCATTCAAATATTTTAATGTAGATGCCACAAAAATGTATGGTAATATTTGAATTTTTTTTCAAAAATAATAATCGTAAAAAATGAATACTTCCGAAATGGGATTTATTTTTTGGCAAAAGAAATTTCCGTATTTGTTTTTTTTTTGTATTTTTTGTTTTCAATTTAATCTATTTTATTAAAAAGGAAAATTGCCTATGCAATGTATACACAATATTTAGAAATAAAAATAATAATAATAAAATTATGTAAATATTGCGGAAATTATTTAACATAGCCTTTGCGACACTGCGAACTCTTAACTTTGAATATAAATTGATTTCTTGATCCAGTGGTAATTTCTTCTCCTTCTTTACTGGAATAGATGCTGCTTACACAATTATAGCCGAGTTATATACACCCCATCATTCATTGTTGTTGTTTTTGTTATAGCGATTTATCAACCCAGGAATAAGTTAGATCAGCCTAAGCACCGAGGTAATCTAACCGGAGGTCCAGGATATGAACTGTTTCGATGGGTTCGGACCTATGGAGAGTGGGGTTTGGGGGGCATGCAAAGAGGTCGTTAGCGTAGACATGCGTTAGGTATGTAGGGGAGGAGTCTGGTCTGGATTAGTAGGTGTTTGATCTACTAAAATATCGAGGTCTTCATCTGCTATACGTGCTAGTTTGGCTCCGAGAAGGAAGCATTCAAGCTACAAGTTAAGCAGCATAATGCTTTGCTGTGTAAAAAATTTCTGCTGGTTGTCCACCTGGTCTGTCCAGCGAAGCCCACTGCATTAAAAACTTTCAAAGCCTAACCACATTTCCTCACTGGCGTAGCCCTTGTCTCTTGATTCGTTAAACATTGTCAATATCAGCGAGTACTTCGTACAGCTCATCGCACTATCAGCTGCGGTATGTACCGTTCCCAAATGTGATGTGGGAACTACTATTTTTTCGTCTTGCTCTGGTTCATTACCAGATCCTTACGTTTCGCTTCCTTATCCAGTTTGAAAAAAAAACAGAGCATACAGCGCGTTTGCATTTACCAATGATGTCAATATCAGTAACTGTAGACTCTTAAGGAAGATTAGATATTATAATTGGCAATTTGTAACTGCTGAAGCGATCTTCGGCCAAACTCCCCCCTCCCCCAATTTGTGGTTTTGCCTCTTGATGTTTTTTCAACAAATGAAGGGACCCTCCAGTTTTTGGCTTGCTGTATTGTAGTCTTACCGGCAAATGGAGCGACCCACAGTTTTTAAACGGCTGATGGTTTCTTGATGAGGAATTTCAATACAGCGAACACCGCAAGTTTAGGTTAATTTTTTATTTAAATTAATTTTCTTTAACCTTTTGGATGTTACTCTGCGCCTACCTTCTATGGAATGTCAAGCCCTTCTAGTGTATTTCTGACATGAAATAAAGGCTCTTCATAAAAAACCAACAGCCTTTCGGAAGCGGCTTAGTATAAACTGTGGGTCCCTTTGCTGGTAAGACTACCATAGGAAAACCCACAAGCTGGAGAAGAAGCTCGATATATGTCTTTTGTATGCCAATAAGCATCAATTTAGATTTGGTTGAAGCCCACCGTGTTCGCCTTACTATACGTAAATGCCAAAATAACAGTTCTTTCAAAAAAAAAAGTCATCTATTTTACAAAAATTCCTGTTTTTCAATTACTGGATTTAATAAAATGCCATAAATGCGCAACAAAGTAAATGAATAAATATATTTTTACAACGAGATTCCAATAAAAATGACCAAATTTACACGAAAATATATGTATGTATGTGTATAGATATATATTTATTAATATCGAAACATGTTTTCGGTGTCTAGATCTAATTTGAGTGATCGAAATGAGTGAAATGACAATGGCGAAATTTAAATTATATTTCAATATCAATTCAAATACAAACGCAAATCATTGGGTCAACAACTTTGTTGAAAATGCACGGCGTAGGTGCCAAAATGTTGTTCCTCATCATGGCCATTTTCGTTTAAAGCCGCTATTTAATTTAGTGTCTTTTTTTCTCAACTGTTAATCAGCATTAAACTTGGGGTAGGCCCATAAACTTTTAATGCATAATATAGTATTTATGTAAATTTATTTTATTACTAACTTGGTTTTATTTTTTTAATTTATTTTATACGTCAAACTTTTAAATAAATTTGTACTTTTTCACCGTTATAATATGTTTTGATTTCTTTGGCTTAATTTATATTCACTTTGAATTAATTAATTGAGTGACCATCATTTCGTGTTTATTTAAAAATGAGTTAAATATCTTGAGACTTGTAAAAACTTCCATGAGCGCAGTCATTGTGAGCTTGAAAGAGAGCTTAATAGAGCGCCGTCATTTCATTCATTTCTCTCTTAATATTTGTACAACCTTTTCACTAGGTAGAGCTCTAAAGAGACCCAAGTACAAAACTTGTAAAACAGTCTCCATACGGTGTAATTGAGAGAAAAAAAGAGGAAAAGCAAATACTTTATTTTTATTGTCATATATATTGTTATTTTCAATCAGTAAAACCGTATTTTTCAAAATATGTTGAGAACTCTCTCTTTTAGATTAAATTTTATTCATCACTATTTCAAGCTATCGAGGCATTTATATACCTTTACAATAATTCTAAAATATACTTACAAGTAAAAAATGTTTTTCTTACAAATTTTCCAAAATGCACAGATAATGTGTTCAGTGAAATTAGTGAAAATTTTGTAACGCTGCAGAAATTTTTATAAGCCAAAACTCTATATTTCCAATTAGAACAGCTGAGCAGTGAACAAGAGACGGAGTGATCTTCCAATTATTTGCAATATTCTAGTTTTAATGGAAACTAAGTTTTCTGAAATTTATATTAACCTATGCAGAAAACTACCCATGTGGGTTCCAAATTTCTTATTGGAAATAAAGTTTATATATGCAAAGACCTTGTCATGACGGAAGACAGCACTTCTTTCTTATTTTTATTTAAATTTATAGGTAGATTGTTAAAAAAATCGTATTATTTATTTATTTATATAATTTCTCTATAATACTTCGCTGTTCTAGGGTTGCGTTGCTTGGAGAAATTACAATTGGCGCTGCCAGCCAGTGGATCATTCGTTCGCTCCACAAGCAGTGAGGGTAAGTTAAGATATTGCGCATATATTCTCTCCTTGAGAGATAATCTACAAAAATTTTTTCCTCTCACAGGAAGCGCGTGGCGTTTATGTCTATTATTTAGCGAAGATCAGTGAGCTATTAGATACAGTTTTCTTTGTGTTGCGTAAAAACGAACGTCAAGTGACTTTCCTGCATGTCTATCATCACTCTGTTATGCCGCTTATATCCTGGGGCACCACAAAGTATTATCCCGGCGGTCATGGCACATTCATCGGTTGGATTAATTCATTCGTACACATAGTTATGTACACATATTACTTCCTGTCGGCATTTGGACCAAAAGTGCAAAAATATTTGTGGTGGAAATCACATATTACCACTTTGCAAATGGTAAGTAACGGTTGTGTTCAATCAATAAGTGATTGACGAATTAAATACAATATATAAATATTGTTGCAACTAGACTGGTTATTTGACATTGAGACACTTAAACTGGTTTATTAATTTTATTGTAGCGCTTGTTGTTAAATTTGTTAATTGTCAACAGCAAATATTATTAAAAACAAATTAATTATACAAATGAGTTTAATTAAAAAAGCATGCAAATTTCATTAAACCTTTTTAGTTGAGTGTAAACCACATTTTTTTATAATTTTTTTAATTTTTTTATAATCTTTTTTTAATATTTTTTTTTAATGTTTTTATAATTAATTTTATAATTTTCTTTATATTTATTTTCATAATTTTTTTTTATAATTTTCTTTTTGTAATTTTCTTTATAATTTTTTTAATGTTTTTATAATATTTATTTTTAATTTTTTTTTAATGTTTTTATAATTAATTTTATAATTTTCTTTATATTTATTACAATTTTCTTTATAATTCTTCTTTTAAAATTTTTTTTTTTATAATTTTTTTTTATAATTTTATTTTAATAAGAACTAAAACAAATGAATTTAATTAAAAAAACATGCAAATTTCATTAAACCTTTTTAGATGAGTTTAAACAACATTTTTTTTATAATTTTTTAGTTTTTTTATAATTTTTTTTTAATATTTTTTTAAAATGTTTTTGTAATTAATTTTATAATTTTCTTTATATTTATTACAATTTTCTTTATAATTCTTCTTTTAAAAATTTTTTTTTTATAATTTTTTTTTATAATTTTATTTTAATAAAAACTAAAACAAATGAATTTAATTAAAAAAACATGCAAATTTCATTAAACCTTTTTAGATGAGTTTAAACAACATTTTTTTATAATTTTTAATTTTTTTTATAATTTTTTTTTAATATTTTTTTAAAATGTTTTTGTAATTAATTTTATAATTTTCTTAATAATTATTTTCATAATTTTTTCTTATAATGTATTTTTGTAATTTTCTTTATAATTTTTTTTTTAATTATTTTTTTTTTTTTAAGAAAAACTAAGAAATCTGCTAACCAAAACTCAATTAGCGCTCGGTACTGGATTTACTTTTAATTTTTCTTTTTCTTTTCCCATATTTTTTAATTCTTTAATTCTATACTTCACGGTTATTCCCGTCCAATAGGTGCAATTCTGCATGGTCTTCATACACCAAACTCAACTACTCTACACCGATTGCGGTTACCCCCGGTGGACTGTTTGCTTCACCCTACCCAATGCCATCTTCTTCTACTATCTCTTCAATGATTTCTATCAGAAGTCATACAAAAAGAAACAACAAGCTGTAACAGATGCCGCCAATGCTAAGAACGCCGCCGCTGCTATCGCCGCAGCCACTGACAACAATAATAATTTCACTGCCAAAAATCTGAATGGTGTGCCGATTAGCGCGACGGGTGATCTGAAGGAAGCGAAGAAGAGTCTGTAATTCTCAACTGTGTTAAAAGTGCTCAGCGCATAGCAAAAACATGTAATGTAAGGAACTCGCAAGTACCGCCGATATAACTTTAGGCATGCAGCAGCTCATTCATCTCGCATACATACGTGTACATACATACACATGTGTTAACGCTGCTGTGCTATCGCGTGTGTTGGCGTCTACACACTACCAATCTCAGTTGTATAAATGGTATTATTTTTAAGTGGAATTAAAATCGAAAATACTACAACTCTTGCCTATTCTATACTTTTATGTATATGTGTAAATGTTTGTGTGTATTGATATAACGTGTTGGGAATATATTTTTTTTTTGTATCTTTAACTTTTTAATGTAAGCGTGATTTTGTTAAGAAGGAAACAAAAAACCATGTAAATTACTTTTAATTGATTTAAGTATATACTCAATCAGTTTATTTCAAGATAATGATAACTATGAAAATTAAATAAGCGATAACGAGTTAAATACACCTATTTTGCGGGTGGAAAATTCATAATGAAGATTCATAGTCAAACGCAAATAGGAAGTCAGTAACGCGCTTTTACCTTAGGTTAAGTAAAATATAATTAAAATATATATATGTATATATGATAAGAACAACTTTGTAATGTATACATATTAATGTAAATAATATACATAAATAGTCATGTATACAATTATTTGTAAAGTTTATGTATCATTACTTATACATACATATATTAGGTACCAAACGAAAATAAAACTTTTGTATTTAATAAAAATGTTTGCGAGTATCGTTTTAAATTTAATACATACAAATAAAAGTAGGTATATACATATCAGCATTTATTAGGCTCAGCAACAAAAGAAGGTTGGGAGAGGATTGAATTGTGGCGAAGGAAATGAGAAATCATAATAATTTTTACTAGATAAGCATTAGGTGTAGTAAAAGGGAATCCATTATTTTTCCAATAGATGCCGTTATTTACCTGCATCTCGTGTTATATAAGCCCGATTCCGTTCCGCTGGATGGCGTTAGAAAGATAACATTTCGTACTAAAAAAGCTGCTCTACCGGTTTTGTAGTTGGTCGTTTTAGTTTTGTTTGAGCGTGCGCCAAAGCTGGACACAAAGAGCAAAGAGAAAATTTGCTCTATTTTACAATTTTTCTTCCATAAGGGCGAAAACTCAAGAAAGACTTCTAAAAGTGGTGAGTGGCGTTTATAGTAACAGTTAATTATGAACAATTTCGATTTCATTCCGGTAATTTTGATGTAACAGATGCTTCACGCACTGGAAGGCCAATTGTCGAAAACGTCGATTAAATCATGAATATTGTCGAGTTCGACCGTCATATGAGCACGCTTTCGATTTCCCAAAAGCAAAAGATTGCAAAAAACTGTTTCGAATAAAGATGGATATAAAAAGAAGCTCGATGTATGTGTGCCTCACGAGTTAACGCATAAAAATCTCATGGACCGAATTACCATCTGCGGATCGCTGCTGAATCGTAAAAAACCAACCCATTTCAGAAGCGCTTGGTGACTGGCGATGAAAGGTGGATCACTTACAATAACATCAAATGAAAACGGTCGTGTTCGAAATGCCTTGAGCTGGCGAAAACGGTTTCCAAGCCAGGAAATATAGCCAGAATGGTTTTTCTGTGTGCTTGGTGTGATTACAGGGAATTATTTACTATAAACTGCTCCCTCTGTTGAACAGACGCTGCAATTAGACTTCAGCAGACCCTTAAACCAAATAAGTCGGAGTAGCTCAACTGAAGCTTCCTCTCTCATTAGCCGCGACTCAAGGCATCCGCATCTTGCACAAGGGTTGCTCACGTTTCCAGGGTGCGCGAAGTAGACGCAAGAGTATAGCCTCGCGATTGTAACAGCATACCCAGAAACTTTACTACACCCTATTACACCCCAGATAATTCACAAGCCATTATTAAAATGCCGTTATATTCTCAAAAAGACAATTCTCAGTGTGCTTTGTGACAGATGGAATCAATCAAGGTTTACTCTTGCACTGAAAGAATTATGATTTTTGGCCATAACATCAAATAATATGCTTTTTATTTCTTTCTTTTTGAAGACACTTCCAATCCGTTCATTTAATATGTTAATACTAAGGTGGATAATAAGCGTCTTCTCAAGTAGAGAAATCTTTAGTTTTTTTTAACCCCCGAGCGTCTGGTGGTTCTTATGATTATCTTCTTATTTCATGTCAGAAGTACTACTGTGTGCAAAAAGTAAGGTGAATTTTTAAATTGAGCTTCGCGTGCTTAATATTTCGGGTTAATTCTTTTTTTCACGCTTGTGTTTACTGAGCGACGAAAAGTGCTTTCGGCGATTTTTATAATGTCTGATTTAATTGAGTTAAAAAGTGCGATCAAACTTTGTTTGCGGAACGAATTTTCGGCTGAGGATGCTACAGAAAGCCTTTGGGACACATCTTTGTCGTAGAAGAACGTGCATAAGTAAAGCAAAGGACTTCAAAGAGGGACGGAAACATGCTGTTGACTTGGAGTGCTCTGGACGACCATTAACGTCAACTGATGTGCAACACGTCAATGAAATTAAGGAATTAGTGCTCAAAATCGTCGATTGACTGTTAGATACCTTGCTGATATATTTGGAATATCAGAAGGATCTGTAAAAACGATTTTGAAAGACTATTTGGGCCTACGAAAAGTCAAATCTCGTTTGGTTCCAAAAATACTCAATTTCATGGGGAAAAAATCGTCGCCTTTGTGTATGTGAAACCATGCTTTCTGAATACCGGGCTAAGCTTTAATGCATGATCACAGGAGATAAGACGTGAACTTAGTGACTCCGTGCTCTTCCAAAAACTCAAGAGACCACTTCGAGGACAACGTTTTGAGTCAATTTAGGAGATTAAACGTGGATCGGGGTGCTCTCTGAAGGTCATACCAGAACGTGACTATTTGACATGCTTTGATAATTGGAAAAATCGTTGGCATAAGTGCATTGCATCCGCAGGAGACTAATTTGAAGGCGACGAAATCGATATAGAAGGATAAATAAAGATATTAAATTTTACAAAAAACGACGCTTTGCCACTCAGCATATAAGGAAGGTACTTGTTGCAAAAATGTGTTAAAAATTTTGACTCTACGAAGACACAGTCTTAAATGTATTGAGGAAGTTGAGGAGTGATGCTGTCGATACGCTAAGAATGTTAACAAAAACAACTGCGCCATGATAGAGACTGATTATGAACACCTTATACCAGCTTTCTAAGGCCGAGATACACACTCGCTTCTGAGCCTTGCTCTATATTGAAAACAGAAATTGCTCTATTATACTACTTGTGCTCTCTCAAGCTACGAAATAATTATGTGAGCTGTGTGACGGAAAAATGGAGTGGATCTATTTTCTTCGCCTACTCTTCGCCTTTACATAGTGTATGTAAACTCTCAGAGATGGTAGGTTTGCGTAAATCCCAGCGACAAGCAGATTAATTGATACATTTAGATTCGCTTTATTATATCCTTGTCATTTAATTATAAGCCATGAGTATATAGTAAGATATATATGTATATGTCCAATTCTCATTAAATTTTCAAAATTAGACTTAGTGTCGTAGATACAGCTTCCTTTCTGGCTCTCACACTCAGTTTTAACATTGCTTGTTTCCCGTTTTCAAAAATGTTTCCGGGATCAATCTCAAAATCTGATCATTTAAGAGTATCCGGATCTGCTAGGCTGAATCAACATTGAAAAGGTTTAAACAATTCGTTGACAGTGGACTTATCGTAAGGTAATTACTTTCATTATGGATTGTGAAGTTCTTCTAGCTTTTAATCGTCAAGCATGATTTTAAGCAACCAGGAAGTCGTAAATCTAACCCATAATTTCATAATCCTGTTTAAAATTCATGGTATTCCACTGCTGTAAAACTTGGCAGCTCAATAGCAATTACACAAACACCGCTACATGCAGAATTTTCAACCCATTTCTAAAAAAAAATACCCTTTATTCCAAACAGATCATCACTGTATGGTCTGCACTGATCGGCATCACCAATGCGTTAAAAGGCATAAATCTTCGGCAAAACCTTTCTAGCGAAACCACTCACTGCCGAATCATCGCTTGTTGTCATCCTCGATGTTTCGTCTCATCTTTCTTTACTACCAGACCCATTGACTGCGCTTCTTATAGATTTGTAGATCACGAAAAAATATTTAAGTGCCTCGAGCACCAATTATGCGTACTGCTCACTAACAGCAATTGTTGATAAAAATCCCCATTTTTAATTATATGTTGAAGTAATGGCTCATGACAGTATTACGTTCATATATATACATATGTATGTAGAAGTTTATATATTCGTACACTGGATTATCACATTTTGCTTTTGCTAGTAAAAGAACACTTTTGACGGTAAGAATTGCAGATATACTTTTTTCTCTTTGAGTAGAGAAGGAATAAATTGTAAATAATGCGACGATATAAATGATGGTCACACCCATGATGACCGTACAACAGGTACAATTATCTTAATGGCTTAATATAATTTAGTTAAAGTGAAGATATGCCAATTTATATGTGAAATTTTGGCATTAAAAATGTTTTTTTTTTTCTTGCCGCCGAAATCTCAAAGTGATCTCAAGAGATAAATATTTTTAAATTCAGCAGTAAAAAATTTGGTACATTTTGGTGTTTTGGAATTTCCTTAAACGCAATTTACAAGTGGTAAAAAATTTACATACATACATTTATAGAAGCAAATTCAAAAGTAGCTACTTCCGCATAGAACCATGCAGACTGCAAAAAAAAAAGACACTGTCTGTCTAATTCAAATGCCAATAAGCTTATGCTCTACCACTCACTGCTTCCACATCTAAAAAGATATTTTTCTAAATAAATATATACAAGTGTATATCTATAAAACCCAATCAATCAACGGTACCGCGCATACTGCCGAAAAGCTATCAACTGATCAGCAAAAGAAGTCAAGCCTCTTAAATTGAGTGAATGAATGTTTGTTGATTAAGTAAAGATGCATACATATAAACATAGCTATTTACATACACAGTATTATGTATAAGCGTGTAAGCCGTCACATAAAGCGATTTAGCCATGATCTTGACCAAAAACAATGCAAAAGCAACTTCAAATCGGAAGCAATCGAACAGACAAGTGGCAAAAGGAATAAAAAAACTGTTTACTATTTTTATATTATTATTTATGCACATGCATATGTGTGTGTAGTTTTAATTTTACAATTTTTCTTTACACATTTAACATGCTAATTTCGTGAGCAGCATGCAAAAGTAAAAAAAAATTAATAACAAATTAAAAAAAAATTTAGTTATTTTTGGCACTATTTTCTTTGAGGTCCATTAGTGGAATTCAATAATGTCTTGCCATGGTTATTAATTAAGACCGATTCATATTAGCATTAACAGAAGAAGAGCCGTAGAGTTAAATATTATAATAAAATATATATTATGTGTGTATATATATATTTATATAAATTTAATTGAGCGATATACTTTTTCCAAGTTGATTATTATGAACGTAATATTTTTAATATTATACTATGTAGATATATATTATTTTTTATACTAATATGCGCAAGTGTGTCAAGCTTTGGTTGGTGCTGTAAAATCGGCTTTTAAAGCATATTTTCGGGCGCAGCCACTGTCAGTTGTAATCTACTTACACAGGGTGACAAATATATGTAATATTTTCCTAGTATACTCTG